CATGCATCACATCCCAAGTCACTGTCCACAGTACCAGCCTTGCCCCCAATGCAACAGAGATGTCCCCCATCTGCCAGACTTTAACACATCCTGGCAGCTACTGATGTAAGCAACAAATAACAAACAACTCACAGGAGGATCCTTGTAGAATTGGAGTAAGGGTCAAGTGCTTCCTAAGGCACTGCAGAACTAGGACAAGGGGGCATATTTTGCTGGTCCCAAGCACTCTGCCCTCCCCACCTGGATTTGAGCCTGAAAGACAGGGGGAAAGTGCAGGTGCATGGAGGCCAAGTTGTAATCAAACAAAATTTGTTGATCACAAGGCACATCTGTTATGACATTAGCCTAAGCTTCAAATTTTCTGGCTTTGTGGAGCAAAAGCCAACATGAGACAGGTTAAACTGACTATATGCATTTCTGAATATGACAAAAAGCTGGAGTATCTGAATATTTACAGCACTAATATAATAAAAGTTTTATATTTAAAGAAAATTCCACTTAAGCAAAACACAGAATTATCTGCATGTTATGTTTGCTTCACTGGAGGAAAAGAGGCTTTGCATGTAAATTTGGTTTCTCCAGATCTTTGGGGCTTTTAATGCTAATCACATTTGAAATCAGAGAAAAAAATCAGCCTGGGGATAAAGGGAGAAACCCTCACTTCACACACTGCAGGACAAAGCTGTGGGGCCACAAACAAAACCCAGGGTGGTGCCCCAATTTAAATTAAGCCCCAAAGCACCTTTTCTCTTGCTTTATGGCAAAAGGATAATTTAATAAGGACTTAGCAGTCCAAGGAAATGTCACCCTAGAAAAAAAATCTCCTGAACATGGCATTCCACAATCCATTGAACTCTGAGATTTTTTCACAAACGCAGCATAAACATGTTTGTATTATAAATGGCAAATGGGACAGAGAAACAGCTTTATATCATTAAGTAATAACATCCGCACACATGGCACATGCAGGAAGTTCCTGCAGCCAATCAGAAGCCGCAGAAGCCCCATCAGACGTTCGGGTTCCAAAAGAACGTTCGCAGACCAGAACAATCACTTCCGGGTTTGCAGCGTTCGGAAGCCAAAACGAACGAGTTCCAGGGCGTTCGGAATCCACGGTACAAGGTATCATTTATTACCCCAAGTAGAAATATCTTCAGTCCATTGTCTCACAAGGCTTAGTTCCTTCAGTGCATCCAATAACTGTATAGAACTGTATGTATCCACTTTCATTTAAATGTAACATCCTTTTCTCAAGAAAAAAAACCAAGGTGATTATTTAGAATGATATTCTGCATGAAAAGTTTGCTTCATTTGGAGCCACCCCTGGATGTAGTCTCAAATGGAGAAACGCAGGTGCTTTTAAAAAAATAAAATAATGAAAGTTTAAACACACCTCTTAATATCAATAGTTGCAGAACACAAATTAATGGTAAAGGTAAAGGGACCCCTGACCATTAGGTCCAGTCATTACCGAATTTGGGGTTGCGGCGCTCATCTCACTTTATTGGCTGAGGTAGCCGGCGTACAGCTTCCGGGTCATGTGGCCAGCATGACTAAGCCGCTTCTGGCGAACCAGAGCAGTGCACGGAAACGCCATTTACCTTCCTGCTGGAGTGGTACCTATTTATCTACTTGCACTTTGATGTGCTTTCGAACTGCTAGGTTGGAACACAAATTACACTGAAGTAAAATCAGTGAAAAACTTCACAGTCATAAAATTGAAGGGGAGCTTTGTGTACACACAAACCCTGCTCGATATAGGAAATTGAGAACTACAGCATCTGCAACAGACAGCTGCCCTGACTCTACTTGTAGACCTACAGCAGAGGAGAGTCCAACACGCCTCTAGATACGTGATTGTTATTATTAAATCTGGTGATTGCATTTTCTTGCTCAAGGCAACCCAAAGTGACTTACAATGAAAAAGAAGTGGTTCCATTGCCAAACTGCTCCTACCCTCAAGAATCTTCACCTAATGTTCAGCCAATATCTACCTCCTCTAACTTAAGCCCAAGCGATGTAGTCCTGCCCTTTGGGACATCAGAAAACCAACCTTTGGCAGTGTACACATTGCCATTTATTCCAAAGCACTCCCATTGCTTGCGTTAGCCACAACTCCCGTCTATCCCGCAGTTTCCTGGGGAATACTGTTGCTTGGTACTTTCCCCCACCCCCTTGAACCAACTTTCATCAGATTTGAAAAATGTAAGCCACGTTCACTTCGCAGTCAAGCCGAGGTGTGCACATTTGAGACAGCCATTGCACACCCGCAGATGAGAGCCTCGTTAATAGGAGGCTGAAGGCTCAGGGTAACTAGACAGGTAATGTGCATCAGGTGAAGTCATCCCTGCCACCTCTCTGGTGTGTACAGCAACATGCAAATGAAACTTGAAACGCAGTGGGAGAAATGGCATCGTTGCATTTTAAGCTGCTAATCTGCACATAGCCTAAGCCCTCCACTGTATCATGGCCTCCCTCAGTATTCATCACAGGGCTTGCTTTCCATATCATTGGCCATCTTTGCTGCCCGTTTCAATCCATTCTGATTTGTCTATATCCTTCTTCAAGTGTAACACCCTAGCCAGTGTAACACCGCTTTTTTAAAAATAAAATTTAAGTAACATTTTAAAAGGATCCACATTTTAAATACGTGTACATCATCATTAATACTGTGAACCTCTGCACCTACCAAGTTGCCTGCTTCTAGTTTATGCTGCAGTAGTGGAAGTGTGCTAAAGAGCAAAATTTTGTCAATATATCTACCCAAACCATATGGCCAGAACTAAGAAATCTTGCTTTCCTTTCTCTTAGGCATTGCAACATCTACCCACAGGGGTACTGCACAAGTGGAACTCTTGCATCCAGATAATGACTAACCATGGAGCAGGAGTCCTATGCATAAATCACATGTGCTTCCTTAGATTCCAGAAGCAAACCCAGAAGCACATCAATAATTTAAAGCCCCCAAATCCTATAAAGACTTCCATGCATGCTTAATTTGATGCACTGTGAGTAATCCCCCCTTGAATTCAATGCAAGATGACATTGGCTCCAATCCTGCACATTTTTGTATGCCTCTAGTTGTACTAATTTGGGCCATTCCATGTTGACAAATGAATATATATAAGAAACCAGTTATATAACATCCTAAGTAAAAAAAAGGAGGCCAATGCAGTGTTGCTGATCAAACATAGTTATTGCCTTAATACTTAATAGAGCCGTGTGTTTGTGTGTGTGCTTTCCTGAAAATTAAACCCCACTAACAATTGGTACCATTTTAAAAAAAAGAGAGTCTCTGTTACCTCCAGGTGATTATCATCTAGTCTGTAGAACAGCTGAGCCAGTATGGTTGGGTATCTCCCACCACCTCTCCAAAAGAGACAGCCTTTTAGCTCAGAGGAGAGGAATATATAAAACCACAAAAACACTGCAGGCTATTAAGTCAATATTTCAGCACAAGAACTTTCAGAACAAAATCGTCGTATTTAAATACAATGAACACCAAGTCCATTAACCAGTGCAAAATTCAACACCCCATGAAGCAATCTAGGTTCAATTAAACCTCAGTGTACATATTTAGCTGTATCATTAACAAGTGTGAACGCTTTCCAAAGAGAGAAGAATACAGAGTGATGTGCCAGATGGCACTGCACTTAATAGCTTTTCTCAAAAAACAAAACAAAAAAACCAACCCTCAAAATTCTCTAATATTTAGAGTATACAGTCTAGCCAATACATCTGAGCTTCATTTGCATTTTAAGGAGTCTGATGAATGCACTTTCATTTGAGCCTAATTAAAAGAAGACGATGAGCCTTTCTCTCTCTCTCTCTCTCTCTCCACACACACACACACACACACACACACACACACACGAAGTGCCTCCTCTAACTTTTCTGACCAATATTTGTTCCTTCCCCTCCCCCTTACCTAAATTTGCTCCAGATTTCCGATAAGTGTGGGCCAGCAAAAACTCTGTACCACGGATTTCGGAACTGCCCTCCTCCTCGCAACTAAGAGAGATTCCCCAGCAGGAACCGCAACGAGCTCGGTGTTCCTCCTAACGCCCACTTCTCCTAATGCTGAGAAGTTCTTTTAAATCTCCTTAACACAGTGTGTGTGTGTGTTCACGGTAGCATCCGCACTTGCTCTGAGAGCGAGCTCTTTCTCTCTTCGGTGCCCAAACCACCATGCCACGTTTCCAATGCATCTCCAAGGACCAGCCGCCGCCGCCAGGAAGGAAGATCCTGCGTTCTTGATGGCAAGGCGACAACCAAAACGGCGATCATTCTCTGCCTTCCTTTAAACTAACAGGGTCTCTATCGCAGCAGCAGCAACAGCAGCCAGCCAGCCAGTCTGCCTGCAACCCTCATTCACTGCAATCCCGCCTCACTTGGTCCTTGGTACCCAGCGACAGACATCTCTCTCCTCACTAAGGGAGAGAAAAATGCACGCAGCAGAAAGACCAGGAGGACGAGAAGGGTCTCTCTTTGCGCCCCCAACCACCACCCCCATCACTGCCCATTTTAAAATAGTTCTCCCGCCTCGCAGAGGAGGAGAAAACAACTCCAAACACGGTTCTCGCGGAAAGGGCAGGTAAGGCAAAGCCCGTCTCGAGGGTCCCGGTCGCAGCAGCCCCGGAGCGCCTCTCTCCTGCTCGCGCGCGCCAGGCAACGGAGCCACTGCCAGCCCGCGACTCTCGACACCTGCTCCTTTCGCCCTCGCTCGCACCTGCCGCCCAAGCCCCGAACCTTCCCTGCCTGCAGCGCCCGCCTCTTCGGACTTGGGTTTCCCGCCCGCCTCCCGGCGAAACTGCAACAGGAAGAAACTTGAAAGGGGCTCAAGAAGCGGGGTGGGAAAACGGAGGCGACTTTCGCCTCAGACTAGCCCCCCGTCGGAGGCGGCAGCAGTCGCCCACCCGCGCTTGCCCAAGGCGTCCTCTCTCTCTCCCTCAGGAAACCGCCCCGGAGAAAGAGAGGGACAGGTCTGAGTTTGTTTTTACCTGCGCTGCCTCCCCGCCAAGGCGCCGCTCGCCCGCCTGCCCGCCTGCGTCCGTCTCCAGTCTGTGGCACGCAAGGACTCCGTAGCCTCTGCTATTTATAGTCCGCAGCTCCTCGCCAACCCCGGGCCAAGCGGGAGAGAAGAGCTGCAAGGGAAAGCAGCGGGGGCGAGACTCAGCGGGCTTCCGCGCTCTCCTGCCAGCCAGCCAGCCGGGCGGCCACCGCCAGCGCGCCTCACAGCCTCCGCGCTGAGTCGAGGGGGCTGCTTCGCTGCAGCTGCTCGCACAAGCCAGAGGCGCAAAGCGAGGCGCGCGCGTTCCTTCCCCTCGGTAGCGCCGCCTCCCGCCAGCCGAGTCTCCGCCTCCTCTCTTTTGCCTCCTTCCTCCAATGTCACCGCAGCTCGAAGGAGGCTCCAGAGCTCTGCAGGAGGCCAGCTCCAGGAGCGACGGCCTGTGCCCAAGGGCGCACGCGCCGCAAGAGACGGGAGGCCGGCGCGCGATGCTCGGCTGCTTTCCCTCTCGCGCTCTCTGGCACCGCAACGCTGAGCTCAGAGGTGACCCGGGCGAGAGGCGGGCAGCAAGCAGCTGTGGCTTGCCGTGCGCCTCCCGGAGTCTAGGGGGCGCTCGCTTCTTGCTGTGAGCTCCCTGGAGAACCAGAGGGTGAGAAAGAGAGAGTGCCCTCTACTGGGCACCCAAAAGGCTGCGTTCTCAGGTGGTTCACCCCCTCCCCTCTCAACTAGCGTCCTATCTCAGGAAGTAGGATGGCAGCACGTTTGAAAAAAATAATAAATGAGCTGCCAAGGTTTTTGACAATTATCTGGCACGTAGCCATGTTTGAAGATGCCTGCCAGAGAAAATATTGGCAACTTTACTCACTGGTCTCATCTGAAGGATGAATGAGATAAAAGATTGTTAGAAACCCCATAATTTTCAAAGGGTTGAGTAAATTGCAAACATGCATTTTATTTTTCCATTATGTTTATTTTTCCATTATGTTTGGGAGATCTTATATCAGATCTCCCATGATGTCTTCAAGTGTTTCCCTACACACAGTTAACATCACATGAGGGGAGAGAGCAGGGATCCACCATGCTCCCCATCTTGGCTGTTGTGCCGCCCCGCCCCCCAATCCATGTTGGAGGATTTACCTCTGCAGCAGGGATCTTGTTCACCCCATGTAGGCTCCTGCAGGATTTTGGAGGCTGATCTTCCAGTGTTTTAAATCATACTGTAAACCTGCACGTGTCAAGCACGCTCTCCTTGGCAGAAATTTGCAAGAAGGCAAGATTTGCCCTGATAGATGAGACCAGTGGCCCATCTAGTCCAGCTGTTCTTGTGGTGACCAACCAGATGTCTCTGAGAAGCTTGAAATCAGGACCTGACTCCAACAACTGGCATTCAGAGGCATGCTGCCTTCTACAGCCGCCAACACATGGAGACCTGTGGGAGTGGTGACAGTGATGCCACAAGTGGGGCCAAGGAGTGCACCCCCACTCTCTCCTCTTGTGTAATTGCATAAGGGGTGATGCCTGACTAGGAGTGCTTCCAGACTGTCTATATTTTGCAGGGAAAACATTGAAAAATGTTGGGTGAATTAATGACTAACAGGGAGTATAAATACCCACAAGCAAATCAGAGTGCATGCAAAATGAATGTTCAGCATCATATTACTGGGCTATATTACTCAATATAGATCAGACACAATCGAACCACTAGGTTAACTTTGCAAAAGCAGATCAGGATAAATGCTGAGTGAACAGGTAGCCTGGAGCAGCTCTCAGTCTTCAGGAAGTTCAAGGACCTGAACAAGTCCACACCTACAGAAATGCTACATTTTCAGCAATGCTGCAGCTGCAGATGTTCCCATATCAGTCATTGAACCCACTCTCATTCCTTCTGTTAGTGAAGTGTGTGTTGAGCACTTGAGTGGAGAATATTGGGAGGTGACATTAATGGGTAGAGAGCAGAACAGGGAAATATGGGAGGTCCAAATGATTCTCTGTCTCCCCCTGGTGGTGTCTCAAAGGCTCACATATGCACTACCCCTCACACTGCCAAGGGATGTTGGCATGGAAGGGTAGCATGGTGGTGAGAGTACTCAATTTTGGCCTGCCATTTGCTTAATTTAAGTGTGTGGTCCAAAACATGACAGCAAATTCATCTCAGAAGACACATGGCCATTTTTAGCAGACAAACAACATGAGAGGGAAGTGCTAAAACAAATTGTGTGCTGATCTCTGGCTTATGTTTTGCATCTCTGCAGCTACATTTTGTAAAACAATAGGGACTCTTGGGCCCTTAATGGCCAGCTCCAATTTAGTAAGCTTTTTTAATGGACAGAAGCCTTGTGCCTTTAATAGGTTTATGACTGCAGAATTGTTAGGTTCAGTCCTGCTCTCCTGCCTTCAACAATAGCCTGGGAAATTTAGCTTATCTCAGTTCTCAATCTCTGTGCTAAGAAAAGCTTCACCTGGTAAATGTCTATATGACAAGTTGTTCTAAAGCTTCAGAAGAAGGGTCAGTAAAAGGGTGGAGAGGGGGAGCCCTAAACTATTCATTAATAAAGGGAGATAGGCTTCTTTGGAAAGGGTATCTTTGCAATCAATCAAGTGTTCATGTCATACAATATCTAGCTGAGCTTTTGATATACTCTAAGAGGGGTGTCCAATATCAACAAGTCTCTGAACTTGCTGCTGTTGCTCAAATGCTGATGGTGGCATAGTCCAAGATGGTGGCATAGCCGTTAGACCAAGATCTGCCCCATCATGTAGAAAGTGAGGATTGCGGCCCAGTGTTCTCTATGAGAAGAGGTTATGTGGACTATTCCAACTCATGCAAAATCCAGCTGTTTGGGTTGCAGCGGATTCTTCTCCACAAGCTGCCGGTCTGTTTCAGGGCACAATTCAAAGTGCTGCTTCAGGTTATCACTCTTAAAGTCTTAGAACCAGGATACCTTATGGGTGCACCATCTCTACTTGCAAACAACCCTGTCCATCCATGGAGTTCAGCGGGAGGCCCCCCTTTGCGTGTCCTGTCACTGTCTAAAGTGTGAGAAGTTGGGAACAATGAAGCTGGGAAATACTGGTCTTAATTTGCAGGGTATGGGGGGCAGCTGGCTTCTTTTGCTGCTGTGATTTTATTTTGTCTTAGTTTGAGTTTGTATAATAATAACAACAATGCAGAAGAAGAAAAGATCCTTCGCTACAGTGTCCAGGTTGTTAGGCTTCTTGTCCTTTGAGTTCCATTTACCTTCCTCTTTATTTCTGTTTCAGCAAGCTTTCAAACATTTTTGTTTCCCTCCCTCTGGACTATGGCTTATTTTTTTTTAAAAAAATTGCTCCTTTTCCTTGTTGTGCTACTTAAAAGGGCTTTATTGTGTGAATTATTTTTTGACTCATTGTATTAGCTGCATTGAGAGCTTTGCTAGGGAGTTGAAACAACTCATGATAAACAAATATTTAGGGGCAGCCACTTAACTTGCCTTTATTCTCTCCCATCACTTTTCTCCCAGGCAGATGGATTTGTTTCTGTAAATTGACAAGAAGCATTACAGTCAGTTGGCATCGATAGATACACACAGAAAGATGCAAGGTGCTTCCAGAGAGAAGTGTATTGTGGAATCGGTGCCACTCATACGTGCAAGCTTTCTACAGGGTCCAGACAATACTGTCATTATCAAAACACCAGCCCATACTTAAACATTTAATCTGGATTTCCAAAAGGGAAAAATAATTAATTATGCATCTCCATTCACTTCTGATGTGGAAGGTCGTTAGCACATTTGTGTGTGTGCATATAGTTTGTCATGAGTGAGAGAGATTTTGGTGGGTGGCCTCCATTGCCACACACCACACTTCCATTTGCCCATCACTCAAGCCCAACCTAGCTGCCTTGTTTCCAATGCCAAATGAAACATACCTATCTCCATTCATTGTCACATATCGAAAGCACACCCAGTCAGTGGCGTAGCGGGGGGGGTGCAGGGGGGGCCGGCCGCACCGGGTGCAACATCTGGGGTTAGGGCAAATACACAGGTTAGGGGGCGCAATTCCACGGGTTAGGGGGCGCAAATCCACGGGTTAGGGGGCGCAAATTACTTGCCTTGCCCCGGGTGCTGACAACCCACGCTACGCCACTGCACCCAGTTTAGAAGTTACATGCTCGCAATATCTCCACACAGTAAATATGGGGGGTTACCTGGGGGACTAATCACATTGCATATGTTGATCTTGTGCAATATCTTTTTATCACTCTTGAATTCTCATGTAAGACCTCAGTTATGAAAAACAATTAAAAAATAGATGGAAATGGGTACTGGCATTTCCCAAAGTACACAAGTCTCCATTTTGCCTGTTGTAAATCATGATAACTGGCTTGTAAGGCTGGTAATGATAATCCTTGTGCATGTCCTCGAAAAAAATTTAAAGGCATGTATGTGCAGGTTCAAAAATGCATAGACATACTCAGGGCAAAACAAAAAAAGGTAATGGAGGACGGAGTGATTGATGGGAGGGCCAAAAACACACACACCACAACTCAGATACATTCCATCAAGTTCTGTCCTCTGGTGTGGCAAGCAGTGTAACAGTAACAAATATTTATGGATAATTTGTGGAAGCTAATTTAGCAAATGCACACACAGAAAAATCAGATCTAAACAACCTGTTTGGGTACAGAGAAAAAATGAGGTAGAATTCATAAAGTACACTCTGATAGCAAAGCTGGAATTGTTCTGTTGTGCTAATTAATGTATCTTTGAAATATGAAACAATAATTTCAATTCAACCTTAAACAGCAAGAATCAAATTTTCCCATAAGTTCTAATTAAACAGTTTCCCACTGGAGATACCATCTTAAATTCCTGTGTGGCTGAATGACAACTTTCAGATCAACAATAGAATGTTTTTGGGGGGATAGAAAAATTGTCAAATTGGTTTCTGAACGTTGCCATTTCTTATGTCAGATTTGGGTCCATTTATTCTTTTGTGTAAAAACTGACCTATTGGAACTTTAGAAATAAGATACTGTTGCTTATTCTATGAAATACACATTCTTTATTACGATCCAAAGACCCAGAATCCCAGGGGTCAGCAAACTTTTTCAGCAGGGGGCCGGTCCACTGTCCCTCAGACCTTGTGGGGGGCTAGACTATATTTTTTTGGAGGGGAAATGAAGGAATTCCTATGCCCCACAAATAACCCAGAGATGCATTTTAAATAAAAGTACACATTCTACTCATGCAAAAACACCAGGCAGGCCCCACAAATAACCCAGAGACGCATTTTAAATAAAAGGACACATTCTACTCATGTAAAAACATGCTGATTCCCGGACCATCTGTGGGCCGGATTTAGAAGGTGATTGGTCCGGATCCGGCCCCCTGGGCCTTAGTTTACCTACCCATGGAATAAGCTTTACAGCCTTTACACAATGTGCTCCAATGGTCCTTAGTGACAACTTTGCACAGAGAAACACAATGTATAAAACAGGATTCTGCAATGGCTTTCTTAGTTGCAATTCTCCCACTTGCTGGAGCATTTTTTGAGGCGCCATGATCAAGGGGATACTTGCTTCAAAGCTTCAGCTTTCCATTTGTGTGTGTGTGGGGGGGGACAGTTTACAGCATGTGATAGTGTGTTACGGGAATGTACCTGCTGAGACAGTCAGGGCACATTGCACGGAGGTTCTGTGAACCAGTCCTTAAGTAACACAGAATGCCAAGGGCGGGGAATGCATTTGCCACACGTTGCTGGAAATTATCACTTTTGGAAATTCCAATCTGGCAACATCTCCTACAAAAACCACAAAATGCTGGAAACATTAGTCAGTTCCTGGGTGGGGATTCATATGCACAGAGCATGTGTTTAAGAGGTTTTAGTTTTCAAGGCATCAGCTTATAAGGCATCAAACTCAGGATCCAGGCATCACACCTCAAGGAAGCTTTTCTACTTATGAGAGCATTTCATGAGAGCTTATGTTCTCATGCAAAGAGAAGATTCATGAAGAGAGCTGAAACCTGACTAGTGTCAAGTACAGTACAAAAGAGCATCACCATGAATGAGACTTCAGAGCAATGCTGCTGAGCTGAAACTGACACAGATCATCTTCAAACTGTCTTCAGACTCATCCGTTTCTGTTCCCTTGTCCTCAATCCCTCTTAGTAGGCTGAGCACTTGCATGGGTGCTGGACTGCACCCCATCTAACCTTTGAAAGAGTTCCTCCAAAGTTTTCTCCCTTGACAAAAGATGTTTCGATTTTTTTTTTTGCTTCGTTCTCAAGGCACTTCAGGATTTCAGACTGTGTGAGATTTTGAGCTAGCCTTATCATTTTATTCTGTCCTCTCTTGGCCACAAAGAGGAACAGAAGCAGTGGTAAGGCCTGCAGCTAGTATACCTAGCCCCAAATCTCTGAAGGAGAAGGCAGAGGTTCCCCACTGTTGTGGAAGAAGTAATTCTCCAGAAGGGGAATGTAAGAGTGATTAGGAGGCAGGGTTGTGGTCATGTGACTGCAGCGCATGGTGAATGTGCCTTGTAAGCACCCTACAGCTTTAAACATTTGGTGTGCTATATGTAGAGCTGGAAACTTCAGCTTCTTTTTTTGTCTGAAACCTCTTGTTAACTTCTGCTACAACCACAATTTGACTTCAAATTACTGCTTACAGCGTCCTGAGCTAGGTTACAAGTATCTGATATTGACAGTTGGAGGAAGCTGTTAGAATGTATAATTAAACTCGCTGCTTATCTGCTTTATGCAGTTGACAGTAGTTAATATATAACTAGGGGAATGCCCATCATTATGATGGGTGAAGGTTAAAGGGAGGGCTTGTAAACTGCAATGATACATTAGACACACAACACCCCCCCCCCCATGGGGACTTGGCTGTCAGACCACACAGTGCCAGGCATGGGGTTTTATCTATTCCAACATTTTTGCCAATTTAGAAGGGCCAACATTATTTTTTCTTGAATTTGTTCATTAGCAGTGCAGAAAACAGAGTTTAAAAGCTCTGCCTGCTAAGTTTCTGTGTGTCAGGCTGTTGTTAAAAGGCACAGGAACAGAGCTGGTGCCATAGCTGGCAACCATGTACCAACTGGAACACGCTTACTTTATCTGGGAGAAAGAAATTCTACCACTATTGGGGTAATGGTTAAGGGAGACCTACCTTCCCTCCAGACATTGTGGTGAGCCATTTCTGTGATGACAGAGGCATCCACAGGAGGCCCTCTACTGAAGATACTAATGTATGGACAGGTGCATATGGAAACAGGCTGTTCTTTGAGTACCCAAGTCCTAAGCTCTGAAGTGATCTAAATATCAAAACCAGAACTTTGAATCAGAATCCGTCATCATCATGTGAGGGCTGTCCTTAAAACTATCAGTAAGAAAGCAAAATAAATTATTGGTAATATAATTTAAAAGGAACAAAAAAAAGCAATGATATTTGCCACACTATTCCGGGAAAGTACCTTCTGCTAAAAGAGAGTCATGTGAAGAGGAACAGGGTTATGTTCCATAGCAAATGCATGTGCCACAGCACTGGTTGTAACTACTTCACTAATGGAATGCCCTGCTATTCTGTTGGCCTTTGCTTTAGCCTCGTTTTATTTATTTTTTAGATTCTTCCAAGTCTGTGTACTCCCTCTCTGCTGGAGCACAGATCTTGCCATGTTTCTGAAAGTGGGACATAAGGGAGCAGCCTCGTAAGTTACAAGCAGTCTCTCACAACCAGCTCCCCAATCCGTTATGAGATGTTGCCCTTCTGTCACTGAATTGCGGGAGGATGTGCTTTGACAGATCATGCAGAAAGGCCAAGTTTGCTTATCCAATGAGTGCTTGATGCCTGAGAGACTTTGCAATGGATTTTTAATGGCACTAAGTGTGTTTTTGTTTCGTTGCATGTTTGATTTCAGTGTGTCGGGGGCAGGAAGAAAAAAGGTGCTCTGTCTTCTTAGGTGTAAACTGTCTTTTTTGCAGCCAAGTCCCACTCACTCTGCCTTCAGGAAGAGGCATACATTGCACAGACATGTATCAAATGCACCCAGAAACAGCAGGGGAAACACTGGTTTAATGAAAATGAGCAGTCCAGCCACATACATTAAAATACATATACTGAATATAATAACAACACAGAGGGAAGCAAACATTGTAGTCCCTTTCCAGTATTCCTTCTTCGTCTAAAACTGGGGAAGGGGGAAAAATGCTTTACCCCCTGTTATTTGATATTGCTCCCTAAAGTTACCCTGAAACCCCTAGAATAGTGAACACATGGAATATAAGCAATGAAGAGTATTGATTGACCTTGCTCAGGACGAAGTCTGAGGGTGTTTGCTTTTGCTGTTGCAGTGATGGGTGAAGAGTTGTTGATATGACACATATACTACCGTGGGACTGCCCACCTATCGGTCACTTGACACCATATGTTTGTGAGTGAGTGGCCACACCCGCCTGCCAAAGTTAGCTCTCAGGCTGGGGAAGGAGATAAAGATTTGGCCCACCAGACAAAAAGGTTCCCCACCGCAATTTAAAATATATTCTTACTAAATTCACCAATATGATGTGTTCACATTTCAGTGATAATCACAGCAGAACTTTCACAATGAACTTCTCTGCTACACAAGTATGGAATAATTTCTGAAATCCATATTTTCTTGTTGTATTTCTTTCCACAATCTGATATAGTGCAGGGTGTGTGTGAATGGGTAAGAATGCAAAACTTCCTTCATGGCATTGTATATATTGCACCAATGTCTTCTGGTGCAAATCAGAAGATAATGTGTTCCGTTATTACTGGAAATGCTGATATTACAGCAACAATAGGAAACATATCCAAACAATCTTGAAAGATTTTATAGCTGATTGGGGAACCTCTCTGCTTCCTTTCTCCCAATCTTCCATCAGATCAGGACTGTGAATGCATATAAACGTCTCTTTAAAATGCACTTGTCTCATTTGAAGAAAAAGCAATCATAGAACAGAGTCCAAATTCAAGAGCTGATTGTCATGCTGGGTCAGAGCCAAGGTGCCATGCGAAAATAGCAGTAGCTGGCATAAATGGATGAGGCCCAGGTTTCTAACCAGAATCAGGCAAAGCAGAGTCCAATATGCATAGCATACATGAAAATGTAACAAGGTGTAATTTTCTTTAGCTTCTAATCATTCATAGGATAGTACCATTACTGGCCAATTTGAGGATGTAGAGCAGGCGTGGGGAACTGTTTTCAGACTAATCGCCACATCTCCTTGTGAGCAATGTTCTGGGGAGGGTGGTTGCATGACCCTGGCATGTGGGGCCAGAGGTAAAAGTGAGTGGAGCAGCAGATGTGACTCTCAGCTTGGTACATTTGGTTATACCCCAGTCATGCAAAATCCAGAGGTACGTACACCCACCCACCCACCTCCATACCCCATCCTGGGAGACAAGACATTCCATCAAAGCAAAAGCACTCAAGGCTACATAGCAGGGATGGTGAGGGTTGTGATCTGAGGACAGTCCCAGGGCCAAACAGAGAGACTTAGAGGGCTATATTTGGCCCCTGAACCTGAGATTCCCCAGCCCTGATCCAGAGCAAAGGTGTGTCACTGGCAGCCTGTGGGGCAAAACTGCTGCCCCCCAAGTAAATATATATGGACTTTATTGTTCTGAGCTATTTTTATCCACGTTCAGGAGGAGAAAGGCTTCACTTGAAGGGAAAAGACAAAAAGGTGCTAAAGTTTATTTATTCATTTTGTAACAATATTCTATACGGCTGCCAACTTTTATGAAATATCAAGACTGCACAACAATATAGTGGTACATTGGGTTACATACGCTTCAGGTTACAGACTCCACTAACCCAGAAATAGTGCTTCAGGTTAAGAACTTTGCTTCAGGATGAAAACAGAAATCGTACTCCGGTGGCGCGGCAGCAGCAGGAGGCCCCATTAGCTAAAGTGGTGCTTCAGGTTAAGAACAGTTTCAGGTTAAGAACGGACATCCGGAATGAATTAAGTACTTAACCCGAGGTACCACTGTATATACAAATGTAATAAAACAATAGCTGGCTTTTCTGTGCAATACCTCAACATATTAATCATCGGTAGAATGGTATGAGTGGCAAGACCCCAAAGCATTATCTGGAGGAATAATGTGGCCTTGAATATACAGAATTGACCACTCTGCATCTAGAGGGCATTCATAGTCAATATTTCTGCCTTGGAAACATATGCTCATCGCTGGTGATGTCCAGCTTCCTGATGCTACTGGGACTCTGGACTCCAGCTTAAGTAATCTTCCATAAGAAGGCAGGGAGTAATGCCACAGGAGTGAATCTTGGCAATGTCTGAACAACTAGAGACGAGGCTGCCATGTGGAGGAGCTCTGCCAAGTTGACGTGGCAACTGGCCATCTGGTGGCTCCAATATTTTAGCAGCAGCAACAGCAACCATTCTACCAGCACTTCTTGTGCCTGACTGCTCTCTCCTGGCTTTTGTTCACATGTCTCCAGGTCAGCTCACACATTATGAATGCTCCCAGAAATAACCTCTGCATATTAGCTCCCGTGCACATGATGAGCTCCCACCATTTTCTAGAAGTGATGAGAAAATACTCCCTAGGTAACCCGTATGGGTAGGCTGTTTGACTCTTAGGTTCAGGCCTCCACATGATTATCAGAACGTGTAGAGGCAGACCAACCCCACCAGGAAAACTCAGCGTAGGGTGGCATTTGTTGACATACATTACAGAGGAGCTGACACCTTGCCTGCCTCCATAGTGCCTACCACCATTTGGTCCTTCCAGTGGCAATGGTCACTCTCCTCTCCTCCCCTTCAGTCACTTGCAAGTGGGCTTCCCTGGAAGCTTCCCTGTACTGAATCCCAGCTCTTTGCAGGGAAATTCCATTTGTGAGCCTGAGGAAGAAGCTGGCAGGTTCTCCACGCTCTCACCTTTGTGTGTGGGACCACGTGAGAAGAAGGGCAAGGCTGGTGGTTGCTACAGCGTCATCACCAACATGGGTCCTGAGCGTTGGCAGGTGCTGGGGTAGGAGCCTGCCATTATGGAGCTAATAATAATAGAATTGTAGAGTTGAAAGGGACCAGAAGGATCAACTCCCTGCAATGCAGGAATCTTTCACCCAATGAGGGGCTCAAACCCACAACCCTAAGAGTTACCCTAGGGTGGTGCAGGGTGAGGCTACTGAGAGTAGACTGCCCAGGGTCCTCCAAAATCTGGTGCTGGGCCTGAAGCAGCCCAGAAGGATTTCACAACAGGGATTTTCAATCAATACTGGACTGTTGATATTTTAACAACAAATTGTCGTGTGTTTTTTAGGTTACAGTTCAACATTGCAACTGTTTTTCTTAGCAGCTCTTTTACACTGCTCTTACACACACACACACACACACACACACACACACACACACACACCAGCTTGATTACAGTCTTTGACTTTGTTTGCCTTCCCCAAGTCGCCTAAACAGAGAAGTTAACCTCCTGTATTTTCTTGCCCACTCATTCTTAAGGCAAGCAAAACCTAAAAGAGATCTCTAATGTCTTGTTGCACACCCATGCAATTAATCTCTGTGAACTCCACTGGAAAGCTTGTCACAGGTCATAGGTTCTGGCCCTGAGCTGCTTCTGCAGTACAGAAGGACTGTATAAAGATCATAATGCTTTCTTGGTGTTCCAAGGAATGAAGAAGGGTTTTTGTGTGCTATCTCACATAGGAAACTACATGTGTGAAATCTCTGCTGGCTCCACAAAGCAAGTACTGTGAGATGGGAGCAAGTTTTCTTATAATCGTGTGTCAATCACCACTGATATATAATGCTATTAAACCTGCAGTACATAGCCCCCGGAGAAAAAGTTCACTTTAAATTAATTCATAATAAAAGCAATTTATTCGGAATGGATTGCTTTAATACCGATTAACCCAATGGCATTACTTTTGCAGAGAATATTTGGTGTCCATTTTGTTCAAAGTTCAGAGCCTTTATGCCACTGTGTTTGTAGTTCCTTATGTAATGTAATGTTTCTAATTACTGCTTTATTATTAGCTGATGATACCAAAGGAAATTGCAGAAGCAAAAGAAGTGTAGAAGTTTAAAGGGCAAATATCTTCATAGTTTATATACTATGAAGTACTGTGAACTATATACCTCCGCTCCTGCTGTGTGGTATAAAGGCCAGCAGTTGTCATGAGTGTTATATAAATATAAAACTATATAACAATGCAGCAATGAACTGTGAATTTCAAAGAACAAAATCACAAAACATCAAGCCAATGGTCAAAGAACAGCAGTCCTGAACACAAAGGACCTGGGAGTAAATCTCTTTGAACTCAAAGAGACTTGCTTCTCAGGAGACATGTATAGGATTGTGCTGTAAAGCTCGTGATTTTCTAATAGTTCAAGTACGATTTGAAAGTATCTTTTCTCTGGAAATTGTTAAACCCCCTTGGGAAATTGCTGTATTTTTCAAATGCTATTTCGAGTGATTTGTGTTTTACTATTGATTTTCTGAAAAGTAAATAACCTAATTTGATTATTACTCTGGGTGTAGATAGTGTGTGTTTAGAGAAAGATGGATAGGTGTTAGGTAGCTTGACAGAAATTGTGGCAGAGCAGATACCTTCATTCTTTTCCTGGAATTTGAGACATTTTTTTAAAAAAAAAACCCACTTCAGGCTCCAATCGGCTAAGGTTTCATTTAAATCTAATTTTCAAACTCTCAGTGTCAGAGGCAATAAGAATAAATATGGGGGTTTTACCTTCATCTCAGTAGCTGGAAGCAGCTGATATTCTGAATGTTTGTCCTTGATGATTCTGCTGATAGTTTTGAGGACTAGGAAGTGTACCCTATAGACAATAATAATCAACTGATTAAAATGGTTTTTAATATTCCTGTCACAAGGGAATGCCAGTCATGGGGATGGCATGTCACTTGGAATGCCAGTCTCATCTCAAAATATTAAACCATCTGGGGCCGATTGGTTTGATCACAAATGTTGAAAGAGTAGGAAAAGGATTTTTTTTTAAAAAAAGGAAAATTAAGGTTGACATTTCTGAATAAGCAGTGAGATCTTACTGATCTAGAGAAGGAAATATTCCCTGAGAATAATAACTCCTCCTGACTTGTAATTTATTATTATTTGCCATATGTATAGTTCATTCTTCACCCAAAGGCCCGAGGGGAGAGACACATAAGGTGAAAATAGAAAAGTAAACAATAATATTAAAATATACATAACAAACTTGAATTCCACACACATCAAAACAGCAGGAGCACTAAAAATCCATTCCAATGGACTTCATTCTTTGCCCAAGGCCTGGATGAAGAGGGGTATGTTCAACTGATGCCGAAACAGCAGTGTTATGGTGAAACACACCACAGAGGAGAGATCGTTCCAAATGTATGCAGCCACTGCCAATAAAGCCTCTCCATGGATTCCCATCCCACTGAATGAGGGAGACTGCTAGCAGGACATTCCCTACGGATCTTAACAAATGGGTATGTCAATATGGGAAGATACTTCATTCAGATATTTGGGACCAAGATCATTTAGGGCTCTAAATGGAAGTACTGGCTCATTAAATATGCCCCATAAGGCAATAGGCAATGAGTGTAGTTGTTCCACAATTGATGTTATATTTGAGGGCACTCACCCAGTACCCTGACTGCTGCATTTTGCACTTGTAACTTCTGGACCATTTTGAAGGAAAGTCCCACGTATGGGATTGCACAAGGCCTTCAAGGTTATCAATCATTTGAACAAATTAAACTGAGCTTTTTGATTCCCATTATCTTAAATTTCACATACTCATAACTTAAATATTACAAATTCATATGAAACAATGCAAGCCAGAATTCATTAACACAATAAATAAGGCAATCCTGTCATTATACAAATTCCTAATATGGTTTCCTCAGCTTTTGACCAGTTTTTGAGACTGAAAGTGAAACAGGATTCAATCAGGTTATGTATAAGATTCCAACTAAGGTGACACCTTCTCAGCATGCCCCAATCCCACCCATTCCCCCCTCCCTTTCTACAGTGGTGTCACACTGGCACAGCAGCTACACACTGGCAGGCAGAAGTGGTGGACAGGGCTGGTGCCACCTCCTCCATGTTGTGTGCATGTTAGCTCTTGTGAACAGGGCAGTTGTGTTCCACTAGTGCAAGGGCATTTAATTATTATTCTATACCTTCCCAGAGGGCATACCTGGTCAATAGGATCACAATATAAGCTAGCCAATTTCTATGGGGCAACACATTAAGAGTCAAGTTCAGATGCTTATGCAAAGGGACAACATTCATATTGTAAGGAATGCTTCGTGTTTATTTATACATATATGTTTAAAATAAGTTTATAATGGTGTGTGAGAGAGAGAGAGAGAGTGGAGTGTGTGTGTGTGTGTGTGTGTGTGTGAGTGTGTGTGTGTGTGTGTGTGTGAGAGAGAGAGAGAGAGAGAGAGCGCATATTACTGGTTTATAGGTAGTGCACAGGTGCTTAACAGATTAAGGGGAAAAACAGACATCCACATTTGGATAATTAATGTATTGCTTGATAATATTTATAGAAAGATCAAGTGCATTGGGGTCTAACATGATTCTATTAATTCTGCTTAGCACATAATGCGTTTATGAAGATATCTGGGAAGGATGTTTCACAAAGAAGTAATTAAGCGAGTCAGCTGGGTAGCTCATGTATAGCAACGTAAAAATATAGCACAGTGGAAACTAATATTCTGTTGAATAATATTCTGTTGGGTATAGGCTAAGCTGACAGAAAATAAAGCAAAGATTGCAAGTGAATGCACAGTTACCTCAGAGTAAGTCCATTGAACAGAGTGAGGCTTATTTCCCAACTACACATGGTATTAGCTGAGCTATTACAAATGCCCCCTTTTCTAAATCTGGATTTATAAGTTCCATGTAGATTCTGACCGGGTGCCAAGAACCTATAATATTAAGACTTACGCATTCCTCCACAAATAGATATGTACAAAAATGACATAGTGACTTATTTAATAATGAACAGATTAATGATTAATGAAAACTATACAGTACTTGAGATATGTTGTTTTGAGGTGTAACCAAAAAAATGAAGTGATTGTTTTCCGAATTTGCTGCCCTAACTTTTTTTTAAAAAAACACCACACAAAACAAATGAAACTCCGAAGAGTACTTGGAGCCCTCTGCTTTGCATGATAGAGGAAAGCCAGCATGCTAAGAAACAGCCTCATTATTCAAAGGAAACTTGGAATTAAGAGCTGTCTGACGTGCAGCTGTGATGTGTGGGCTCCTGCAGCTACACTTTCCACCCTGAAGCTGCTTTGGATTCAAGGGGAGAAGTGCCGCCCGGTACCTAAGTACACTTCTGAGCACCCTGTGTAGAGATGAAAAAGGACTTTCAGATTTACTTAATGGTGGGCATTAAGTTTGATTTGGAATGGGGCTCGATAGACAAAGATTTTTCTTTTCAAGAAATCAGCCCGCAATTTAGTTAACTCTAAGAACAACACAGGCCTTGTCACGCTCCTGGTGACATTTATTGGGATCAGAATCCCTCCCCCCAAAACCACACCATGAGCTTCCCTGACCCTTACTAACTACAGAAACACTGCCAGTAGTTTCTGTTGCTTCTTCTATTGATGCATCTGCTTTTGTAGTGACATCAGGAAGGGAGGGAGGTCTCTCACCCTTTCTTCCCCACTCTCTCAAGATAGGAAACTACATTTCCCAGGGTCTCCGGCACCTTGGACTCTGTTATAGCAGTGTTCCAAACACAAGAGAGAGTGCGAGAGAGAGAGAGAGAGATCTCCACTCCTTCCTTCCTGCCACTATTGGTGTCACCACATTGCATGACAATCATAGAATCATCATAGAGTTGGAAGGCTCATCTAGACCAACTCCTTGCAATGCAGGAATCTCAGCTAAAGCATCCAGATGACAGATGGCTATCCAACTTCTGCTTAGAAACCTCCAATGAAGAAGGGTACACAACCTCCCTTCTAAATAAAAGGTAAAGGGACCCCTGACCAGTAGGTCCAGTCGTGGCTCATCTCCAAGCACTCATCTCACTTTATTGGCCGAGGGAGCCGGCGTACAGCTTCCGGGTCATGTGGCCAGCATGACTAAGCCGCTTCTGGCAAGCCAGAGCAGCGCACGGAAACGCCGTTTACCTTCCCGCCGAAGTGGTACCTATTTATCTACTTGCACTTTGACGTGCTTTTGAACTGCTAGGTTGGCAGGAGGAGGGACCTAGCAATGGTAGCTCACCCCGTGGCGGGGATTCAAACCGCCGACCTTCTGATCGGCAAGTCCTAGGCTTAACCCACAGCACCACCCGCGTCCCTTCTAAATATAAGGCCCTAATTTATGTTCTTGTAGTCTCCTGATATCTTTACCCTTGCTTGGCTAGGCCAAACTATGGTCAGTTTTTCAAGGAACGACACCATACACTTCCTATTACTAGCATGAGATGTCATTTAATAAGACATAAATGGACAGTGCCCAAATTAGCGTGGTAAGAGATGTTAGATGTGTTAATAAAAAGCTTGATTAAACACAAGAAATGAGAAATGTTGCCCTCAAATTATGCCATCATACAAATGGCAAATATCTGCATATACCCCTAAATAGAAATTTCATGCATAATCTGCCATGCATAGCGATGAAAATTTGCCCCTATGTTTTATACATTAGAATAATTTTTTTGATTAGACTCTGCAGAGCAAAAGCTTTGCATATTATTACACTCCATGCTGTGATGAGCAGATTTTAATGTAACATCTCCATTTTTATGTTGCTAGGCAGTTGCAGTGAAAGGTAAATTCTTGTTCCCTTCCTTTCCTGAAAAAAGACAAGTGAAACGTGGTGCTATTACATGTTTTCCCCGGAGACCGGAGCAATCAAACAACTCTATGTGTGTGTGTAGATAAAGATTACTGTTAATAGGCTGTAGAAATTTAAATCCAATCATTTATTAAAGGGATAATGTTTAACTCAACTTGTCCTGGAGTGACAGCACTTGTTTGTGACATCTTTAAAAAGATGTTGTGTTAAGGGAATCAACACTACACTAAGGCTGCTATTAAACTAAAACCCCTTGACGATATCTATAGTGCCACATTCATTGTTGGCATGTGCATTTAAAAAAAGCAAAGAAGAACATTCAGGTACTGAGAACAATCATTCCTCCACACTAGAAAATGATACTGACAAGAAATAACCTCCTGAATTATAGAGCTCATCATGAGCGCTGGCACTGCGGAAGGAATTGCTGGTGAGTCAGCTCCCATAATTTTTACCTTACTTGAGATACTTTTTTTTTTGTCACAAGCTAATCAGCTGGAAAAGGGATTTGAAGGGGGTGGGAAGGATATCTTAGTTGATATAGTTCAGAAAGCATTAGTTAAGCCTCATGAGTCTGACAGACAACAAATTATTGCCTCAACAGCTCAAATTGGGGCAGCACTTTTCCGTGTCACTCCCCTCAGCACGTTTTCATTTGTCACCTACAATCAAGAGACAAACTCTCAGGCAGGGCTCTGTGGCCTACATCTCTAAACGGCAAGCTTCTTCTATCACTTGTGTGTTTTCAACTTTGTTGTTGTTGTTTTAACTCTCATTTTGTGGACAAAGGCCTGTGATCCTTTTTAGAACATTTCCATTCAGGCAGTGGAGCTGTCAAAGCAAGACTTCAAGGCAAAAATCCATCCCTGCTCCCACCACCACCCAGAGGAATAAGCAGGAGGGCTCACAAATGCAGCAGGGCTGGCTTATTATCACTTTTTGAAGCGCATGAACTAATACACAGGAGATGCGGAGGACCTTTCCTTGCTGAGGGTGCCG